GCCCCTGACGGAGCTGGATGTCCACCACCGCATCCTGCGCTACACCAACTACCAGGTGGCGCTGGCCAACAAGGGCCTGCTGCCGGCCCGCTGCCCACTGCCCTGGGGAGGCAGTGCCACTTTCCTCAGCCGCGGCCTGGCACTCAATATCGACCTGCTGCTTTTCCGCGGTCCCTTCTCACTCTTCCGCGGAGGCTGGGAGCTGCCGCACGCCTACAAACGCAGCGACCAGCGGGGCGCCCTGGCAGCACGCTGGGGGCGCACAGTGCTGCTGCTCGCCGCCCTGAACCTGGCGCTGAGCCCGTTGGTGCTGGCCTGGCAGGTGCTGCATGCCTTCTATAGCCACGTGGAGCTGCTGCGGCGTGAGCCCGGGGTGCTTGGGGCGCGCCGCTGGTCCCGCCTGGCGCGCTTGCAACTTCGCCACTTCAACGAGCTGCCACACGAGCTGCGCGCGCGCCTGGCCCGCGCCTACCGCCCCGCCACCTCCTTCTTGCGCACCGCTGCGCCCCCCGCGCCCCTGCGCGCGCTGCTGGCCCGCCAGCTAGTCTTCTTCGCGGGCGCGCTCTTCGCGGCGCTGCTTGTGCTCACCGTCTATGACGAGGACGTGCTAGCCGTGGAGCACGTGCTCACCGCCATGACTGCGCTCGGGGTCACCGCCACCGTGGCCAGGTGCGACGGCAGATGCCCAGGGTGGTGGTGTGTGATGACAGTTTCTCTGATCTGGTGCCATGTGAGGTTTCCGCCTCTAATGCTTACCTCTCCCACCACCGGGGCCCTGTAGCCCAGCATCCCACCGCGCGTCTTCCTAACCGCAGGCCTCTTCTCCCCACGCATCCCGCCCTTCAGGTCTTTCATTCCCGAAGAGCAGTGCCAGGGTCGTGCGCCGCAGCTCCTGCTGCAGACGGCCCTGGCCCACATGCATTACCTCCCGGAGGAGCCCTGCCCCGGTGGCAGGGACCGCGCGTACCGGCAGATGGCACAGCTGCTGCAGTACCGAGCGGTGAGGGTCCGTGCGGGGGCCGGCTGCGGAGGAAGTTGGGTCTGTCTGCGCCGAGGATCTGTCTGGGAGACGACATGAAGGAAGCAAAAGGGCCACCACAGGAGTCTAGGAAGTGACTGGGTGGGAGGCTTCTTGCCCTGGCCAGGGTCGCTGGGGGCTGCTTGGTCCTGATACCGCGGGTGGGGCCCTCAGCGACCCTTGCTCAGCCTCACCGCTGCTTCCCCAGGTCTCCCTCCTGGAGGAGCTCCTGTCCCCGCTCCTCACCCCACTGTTTCTGCTTTTCTGGTTCCGCCCTCGTGCCCTGGAGATTATCGACTTTTTTCATCACTTCACTGTGGATGTGGCTGGGGTTGGGGACATCTGTTCCTTCGCCCTCATGGATGTGAAGCGCCATGGCCACCCTCAGGTCAGAGCTGTGCCCTGGCCCTGCAGGGTTGGGCTGGGTGGGATTTTGCTTGCCTCTAGGGAGCAGACCTGGGTTCCAGCCCTGGCTCCATTGCTTGCCACCTGTGCCCTTAAGCGAGTCACTTCCCTTCCCTATGCCCTCATGCCCTCATCTGTCAGATGGTGACAATGGCAATGTGCCCTCCAGAGCACAGCCTAGACCAGGCTTATGATGACACAGATAATGTCTGTGGAGCCCATTTGGCTGCGTAGGCAAATGGAGCTGCTGGCGCATAGTAACATCAGGAAATGGGAGCAAGGAACCCCCTGGGGGCTGAGGAATGGGCTTGGCCCATGAGTGGGGCCGGACGAAGGACTGGTGGCTGGACCAAAGTTGTCAAGACCACCCTGGGCAAAGCACGGAGGCTTGGCCCTATCCCCAAGCTGGGTCTAGACCCGGGTTCTGTTCTCATGCTGTGGTTTTGCTGATGGCGAACAAGCCCCTCTGTTTCCCTCACATGGAAAATGCGGCTGTGTTTCCTGTCCCACCTAACCCCGTAAGCTGGATGTCCTTAGCACCTAAAAGACTGTCCTTGCTCACAGTGGCTCTCAGCGGGGCAGACGGAGGCTTCGCTGTCTCAGCGTGCGGAGGACGGGAAGACTGAGCTTTCTTTGATGCGGTTCTCCCTGGCGCATCCTCTCTGGCAACCCCCTGGGCACAGTTCCAAGTTTCTCGGGCACCTCCGGGGCCGGGTACAACAAGATGCAGCCGCCTGGGGCGCCACCTCGGCTCGCAGCCCCCCCACCCCGGGGGTGCTCAGCAACTGCACCTCACCCCTGGTGAGTCCCAAGCCTGGCCTCCCCTTCTGCCCTCACCCCCCAACTCCTCCCCAAACGCTTCCCCTCTAGCCTCACCTTGGGTGGTAACCTGCCTCACCGGCCCTGCCCCCAGCCTGCTCTCCTGCCTTCTTTAGGCCTTCCCTTCCTCCCCACTCCCTTTCTGTCCTCTCTTCTGACTCCCTCTTTGGCTTTCCCTCCCCTCTTGCGTCCAGCCTGAGGCCTTCCTGGCCAACCTCTTGGTGCACCCTCTCCTGCCCCCGAGGGACCTGAGCCCAACAGCCCCCTGTCCAGCTGCGGCCACAGCCAGCCTCCTTGCCTCCATTTCCCGAATTGCCCAGGACCCCAGGTGAGGAGTGGAGCCTGAGATGCAGGGGTGTTTGGGTGGGGCTGATCCTCTAGGAGGGAGGAGCTGGGGCACTGTCAGGGGATTCAGAAGGGAAGCCCTCTTGGCCGTGGCTGGAGGAGGGTATGTCTTTTGACCTGCTTCATGCTGTGTTTCAGCTGTGTGTCCCCAGGAGGCACTGGGGGCCAGAAGCTGGCCCAGCTCCCAGAACTTGCTTCTGCTGAGATGAGTCTCCATGCCATCTACCTGCACCAGGTGAGCGGAGGGTGCCCGAAGGAGAAATGTGGGGAGAAAGCAGGTGAACAACGTGGAGATGGAGGCAGGGGTGGAATCTGAGGAAGGGCCTAGTACAGCTGCAGGAGGAAGCTGAAAAGCCTCTGCCTCTGGGACCCTGCCCTCCTTGGGGGCGGCCCTCATTCCTCCTCATTTCCATGCAGCTTCACCACCAGCAGCAGCAGGAGCCTTGGGGTGAGGCTGTGGCCTCCGACCTGTCCAGACCCTGTTCCAGCCCCTCACAGCCACCCTCGCCTGATGAAGAGAAGCCATCCTGGTCAAGTGATGGTGAGGAGGGTGGGGCCTGCAGGCGGCAGAGCCTGGTAGACACTGGGCATCCTGGCACTGCCCAGCTGATGGCCTTTGTCACCAGGCTCCAGTCCTGCCTCTAGCCCCAGACAACAGTGGGGAACCCAGAGGGCCCGGAATCTGTTCCCCAGAGGGTTTCAGGTGACCACAGACACCCAGAAGGAACCTGGCCAGGCCTCTTGCACTGACTGAGAGGATGCCTCAGGGTCAGTATGGCCTCCTGTGAGGGGAGGGAGAGAGGGCTGCGTAGGCAATTGGTTTGGAGTCAGACTTGAATGGATGGGAGCAGCGGTGGGAATTTGGGGTGATGGTGGTGGTCATCCCTGGAACCTAGACCCCTAGACTGCTTGCCAAGAACCTTCTCCTCCCACAGGTGCCTTGGCTTCCACAGCCACAGGAGATTGGAGGGTGGAGTAGAAGAACAACGGAGCCATCACTAGAGGCCCTGTAGATGACAGGCCCAGGTGCTTTAGTGGGGCAGGACCTGGCAGTCAGTGAGGAACTCGCCCTGAGAACAGAGAAAAGGTAGGAGAGGAGATGCTGATGGCAACTGGAAACAAGTCTTAGAGATGGTCCCCATCCGGAGGGGAGAGGGGACACGCCCACAACTGCAGTGTGTCCTAGAGCAGCTGCCTGGAAAGAAGGCCTCGAGTTTCCTCCAGGTGGGGGGACAGAGGTCAAGGACTAGCCCGAGCTAAATGGAAGGGCGACAGTGAGGCAGGTGGGCTTTAAGGCTGTGGATTTGTTGTGCTCGTGGCCGCCGGCAGCACTTTCAGGTTCCTGGGGGCTTGCAGGGCATGGGGACTTGGGAGTGCTGACTTGGGAGTGGGTTGGCTCCCTGTGCCGTATTAAATAAGCAGTAAAGCTTGCTCATGGCCGTTGCACATCTCTGTGACTCTTGCTTCTGGCAGCCCCCACTTCTGGCAGCTGAGTGCTGCACCTTCTCCATCACGAGCCTGAGACCTGCACAGGAGAGCTGCCCAGACTGGCTGGAAACCATGTTTTAGAGTGCAGGGTCAAGTGGAGTGCAAGACTCCCTGTCAAAAGAATAACCCCTTCCCCTCTCCCCCCATACAACTGCACAGGTTAAAACAGAAATTTTGTCATTTTGTAATTGTAATCCACATGGGCTGGGTTAGGCGCTTTAGTGGTTCTCCTAACATCTGGCACAGTCTCTTAAATCTTCAATAATAAATACTTGATTTAGAGATTAGGCTTTACAGGTAAGATACTCCTGAGACAGGTAAGGGGAATCTAACATTCGCCTAAGAAACAGGAAGGGGGTAGGAGTAGGCCCTGGATACGGCTGCTGGGAGGGGCGTTCCAGATTTAGGCGGACCCTGTCCGAGGCAGCAGGCCTACAGAGGGAAACAGGCGTTTTGCTCCTTCCTGGTGGAATAATGCTGAATCCTTGCAGCCTCTGGATAGATGTGGGAAGGCACCACCTCAAGACGGGAGGAGCGGGGCTTGTCCTGGTCGGGCGGACCTGAGTGCGGCGGCCGCTCTCCAGGAACTGGAGGGGAAAGCCAGGCGGTTCTCAAGGGCCATTGGTGTCTGAGGTGGGCGGGTCGAACGCCCAGGGTACTGCGCCCCGCAACTGCCGCTCCTGCAAGGAAAAACTCTGGGTGCGTATGCGGCTTGTCACCTCCTGGGTGCGCAGCGTGAGCCCAAAAATGTCTTCGTGGTAGCGTTGCTGATCCTGTCGGGAAAGTGAGCAGTGGATGAGAACCCCAGTCGGAGACCTGAGCGGGAACCCCGCACTCCCTGGGCCTGGTCCCCGCCCTGGCCCGCCCCTCCACACCCGCAGCACGCCAATGACGTCGCCGGCCTCTTCCAGCTCCAAGTCGCCCTCGGTCGCCAGGATGCGCTGCACGGTCTGCAGGACGTTGGTTGCCATGGTGACATCGCCGCAGACAAACATGTGGCCCCGCTCAAGGCACAGAACGCGGTGCACCTCCGCAGCCAGCTCCGTCCTTAGGATGTCCTGCACGTAGGTCTGCAGGGCGGCGGGGTTAGGACGGGTCCTGGTGGGGTGGGCGCGGGGTACGCACCCTGGGGCAGCTGGCTGGCCCCCTGGGTCTGAAAGACTCCGGAGCCCACCAGGTGGGGCCTGCGTGCCCTGGGGCGGTGTCTAGAGGGGCAGCGCCGAAGGGGAGGGGCTGGGGGCGGGGCGGGGTGGGCCTAGAGGGGCTGGGGCACAAGGGTGGGCTGGAGTGCGTGCTGGTGGCTGAGTGATCGTGGGAGGCCGCGGGAGGGCTCTGGTCGGTGCGCCCCGCTGGAGTGCACGAGTCCTCCCCTCTTTCTCTATCTTCAGATTACCATTGCGCTCTGAGGGTCTCACACCTTGGGATTGTCGGGTTCCCGGGAGAAGGCGGTGAGGACTCGGCCAAACACCCCGCGCTGCTGGGCGTCGTGCACCTCGTCGCGGTAGAGATGGTCAAGTTGGGAGCACCGGCAGCCGAACACCAAAGTCATGGGGGCAGGCTGCAGCCCTGCAAGCAGCAGCGGCTTGGGAAGGCCCTTCTTTCAGGGCACAGGGCCAGCGGTGCCCCCCACTGGCCACCATCGCCCAGCCTGGCAGCCCAGCATTTTGGGCTGAAGCCACCATTACTTTGGCTGTTTCATCTCTAAGAGCATGCAGAATGCTTTCACAGAGACCCTGCACACGCCTGATTTATAGAAGAAAGGGGAGCGCAGGTGAAGTGGTGATTTCCTTCATGTAGGTAGCCCCTGGCGGAGTTGCGCTAGAATGTGTGGCTTAGGACTCAGAATTCTATGCCTTTGCATTGTGTCACATCACAGTCCCCTTCCTTGCTTCCACTTCATATTCTCCCACTTTTAAGTCTCCTCCCAGTCACAGCCCTCTTCTTTTAATTGACAGACTACCCTGGGCACCCCATGCTCAATCTGAACACCTTGGAGCATCCTTAGGTCTTGGACGGACCCCAGTCAGCTCTGGCACAGTCCAGAATCCACCTCGGGCAGTTCTTCTTTGAGTCTTAGCCCTATCCCTTCCAAAATTCGATTTTCCTTTATCTGTAATCCAGTCAACACCTACTATGTGCCAGGCACCAGGCAGCCAGACACACAGGGCCCAGCCCTTGCCTCAGTACCTCCCCTCCCCTCCAATCTTTTCAGCTTTGTGGCCTCTGTTTCCTGCCCTCTCTTTCCTATCTGTTTCCTGCCTTCCAACCCCACCCCTCCAAGCAGTCCTCTAGTCCCCAGCCTCACCTTTGCTCTCGATGTCATGCAGCCGCTCCTGCCAGAATCCCCGGAAGGGGGCAATGCCAGTGCCTGGGCCCACCAGGATGCAGGGCAGGCTGGGATCGGGCGGCAGCCGGAAGGAGGGAGCCCTAGCAGGAGAGAGAATTCATCAGGTCCCCTTTGCCTTCCCTGCTCCCCCGTTCTCACCATGCAGGGCGGGTGGAGCGAGGAGAACCCAAGCTCTCCTGATAAATGAGTTGATATCTGTGAAGTCGTTAAAGCAGTGTTTGGCTCATAGGAAGCCTGACGGGTTTATGAAAAGAACTCTGGGCTCATGTCTGTAATCCCAGCACTTTGGGAGGCTGAGGTGGGAGGATTGCTTGAGCCTGGGAGTTTGAGAGCAGCCTGGGCAACATAAAGAGACTTCCCATCTCAAGAAAAAAAAAAAAAAAAACCCAAAAAACAACTCTGCTTGCTGAAACTCCTTGGATCTGCAGTTTCTGGATACTGTGCCAAAGGAAATATAGTTCATTTTGGTTTGAAGAATACTTAGATGACTCAGGGGATTTAGAAAATGTGGGGAGAGTGAAAGACATACTTTCAGCTTATTATGGGTTCACCGAGTGTGTGTATTTTAAATGCCCTTAATAGTGGTATTTACTTTATGTTCAGTAGATGGGTACAGTTTATCTGTAATTTAGCTGCCCTGGTGGCTTGGGGTCACCAGGCCCAGCTGATGTCAGCCTAGCAACAATTCTCAGTCCTATCAGGACTTCTGGTTCCTGGCTGTGAGAGGGAGCAAGACTTCTGGACACAGCATGAAGGAAGGGCCTCTTAAAATCCTTCACCTTTAGGCTGGGTGCAGTGGCTTACACCTATAATCCCAGCACTTTGGGAGGCAGAAGCAGGTGGATCATGAGGTCAGGAGTTTGTGACCAGGCCAACAGGGTGAAACCCTGTCTCTACTAAAAATACAAAATTAGCCAGGAGTGGTGGTGCACTCCTGTGATACCTGCTACTCGGGAAGCTGAGGTGAGAGAATTGTTTGAATCTGGGAGGTGGAGGTTGCAGTGAGCCGAGATTGCGCCACTGCACTCCAACCTGGGTGACAAGAGACCTTGTCTCAAAAAAAGAAAAAAAATTGGCCGGGTGCAGTGGCTCACGCCTGTAATCCCAGCACTTTGGGAGGCTGAGGCGGGTGGATCACGAGGTCAAGAGATTGAGACCATTCTGGTCAACATTGTGAAACCTCGTCTCTATTAAAAATACAAAAAATTAGCTGGGCATGGTGGTGCGTGCCTGTAATCCCAGCTACTTGGGAGGCTGAGACAGGAGAATTGCCTGAACCCAGGAAGCGGAGGTTGCAGTGAGCCGAGATCATGACGCTGTACTCCAGCCTGGCGACAGAGCATGACTCCGTGTCCAGAAAAAAAAAATCCTTCAACTTCTTTGAGCCCTCAGTGACACCAAGGCCAAGGGTGGCCTTTATCCTACCTAGCAGTTCTCCCTGGAGTGAGTGAGGATATAGTGACTGTAGTTCCCAGCTGCCATGTGGCCCCACATCAGACGGCCCAGGGACAAAGAGAGGAACACAGAAACTGCACTTTCAGAAAGCCACAGGGCCAGCTGGTTTGATCCCAGCTCTGGCTCTGGGAGCTGTAGATTCAGGGCAAAACTCTGAGTCTAAATGAAGGAGAGCCAAGCTTAGCCAGGGTTCTGAAGTGACCTAATGACACCACGTGCTTGACATGTTACAGAGCTCCCTCCTGTTTCCAGTGACACTCTTCACCAGTGACGCTCCTCACTCCTCACCAAAGCTGCCACCCTGGCCCTGGGCAGCTCCCCACCAAGTCCTCCATCTCACTTACCCCCGGATGAAGCAGGGCACAGGGTCTCCAGGCTTGAGTTGGCTTAGCCACGTGGAGCAGACTCCATAGTGCAGGGGGCCCAGCCCATCTAGGGGGTGGGGAGGAGAGGCTGGTGAGGGGCCAGAGAGGGGCCTGTCCCACCCCCGCTGTGGCCAGGCCTGCTCCTGCTAGTTGCCTCACCCTGGGTCCTGTATGCCAGCACAGCTACTGTGAGGTGGATCTCTCCTGGGTGGATGCTAGGTGCTGAGCTGACTGAGTAGTAGCGGGGCTGCAGCAGAGGCAGCTGGGTGAGGAGCAGTGGGGCAGGCAGTGCCACTGACGGGAACTGCTCCAGCACCTCCAGCAGCGTGGGGCAGCGGAACCACTTCCACTCCTCGTAGCGCCGGGGATCCTGGCAGGGCAGGATGCAGTGGGTTAGGGACCCCATGGCCCTTCCTAATCGACCTCCCTTCTTCACTCCTCCCCCACTGAGCCTCCTTAGGGGTTCTCCCTCCTCAGTTCAGGCCAACAGCTTTCTCTAAGACCTGGAGAATCCAGCCGTGAATTCCTCCCTGGGGAGCTGGGTCTTAAAGCACCAGTTCACGTCAGTCAGGAGAAGAAAGTCCAGGGAGGACCTTGCATGGGGGTTTCCTGTCACTGGGGCCCCCACCCAACTCATCCCATCTCTCTAGCCCCTGTGCCTCATTGTGGGGGCCCCCAACCTGGCTGAGGGCCTCCAGCTCCTGCTGTTCCCTGGGCTCTTCTGCCAGAGTGCTGAGCAGCCGCAAGAGCTGAGGACTGGGTGGGGAGGTAATGTCCAGGAAGAAGGTGAGAGCCTGGCGCAGTGTGCACGGGGGCAGCCGGGGGTCCCGCACCCAGCCGGGGGGAGGGCCACCTGCGGATGGTGCACAGGGAGCTGTGAGGACAGGGCCTAGCAGAACTGCAGTGCCTGGGCTGATGTTTGTATTTTGGGGACTGTTAGGAGCGGGCCCTTGAGCTGCTGATGGGCCTGTCTGGGCAGCCTCAGTGTGTTGTTTGGGGGCCCCTGGCTGGACTGGGTTGGTCTGGGCTGCTCTGCCTCTGACCCCACCCACCCTTATTTTAAATAAAGCCCAGGCACTCGTGGCAGCTCCAGAGCAAGCTAAATTGCCAGGGGAGCCTTGGGGAGGATCCCGGAGGGAAGGGACAGCTTTCTGGTGGGGGTGCATTTGAGGGTGTGTAGATGGTCCAGCAACAAGGCTAGCTTGGCATCGGGCAGCACAGTCAGCTCTGACCCCAGCTGCTGAGTTCTGGAGGAGTTGGCCACACCCTGGATCCTGAGCTCCAGGAGGCCTGGCGCTGGGGCTGGGCGTGGGGTCGGTGTGCCCTGTCGTGTCCCAGGCTGCCCCTCACCAGGGCTGCCCTTCTCCAGCTGCTCTACTGCCACGGGCTCAGTGGGTGCTGGCGGGTCCTCCACGCGGCTCAGCAGCGCCTCCACAAGGCCAGGCCGGTTGGGTGGGCAGATGCCTATGTGGTCCCCTGGCTGGTACTGCAGCCCCTCCTGGCCTCCGGTGTCCAGGCGCACCAGGATGGTGGCCCGCCTGGGTGTGGGAGAGGGGCACTTATGGGGAATCAGGGAGGGGTTGGGGTGAGAGGATGTGTGAGGAGGAGGATCTAGGGTGTGGGTGTGCAGGACAGGGGGAGCGTGGTATGGGAGGAGGAGGGCTCAGGGTGTGCAGGACAGGTAGGGGGGCAGTATGGGGGGAGGAGGGTCCAGGGTTCATGTGTGCAGAACAGGTGGGGGGCGGTATGGGGGGAGGAGGGTTCAGGGTGCGGGTGTGCAGGACAGGTGTGGGGAGGTATGGGGGGAGGAGGGCCCAGGGTGAGGGTGTGCAGGACAGGTGGGGGGGCAGTATAGGGGGAGGAGGGTCCAGGGTGTGGGTGTGCAGGACAGGGAGGGGGGTATGGGGGGAGGAGGGTCCAGGGTGCGGGTGTGCAGGACAGGTCGGGGTCAGTATGGGAGGAGGAGGGCCCAGGGTGCGGGTGTGCAGGAAGGGGAGGGGGGTGTGGTAAAGCTGTCATCCTCACGTGGACTTGCTGCTTTGCAGGTTTTCCACTGAAAGGATTGTAGCCTGGAACATCTTCCGCCTGTGCACGTGGATCAGACCTGAGGGGTCAAGGGGCAGCTTGAGCTAGGGAGCAGGGCCTGGCCCCTGGGTGTGTTAGTCCTGGGGTGGGGGGTCCTCAGAGAGCCAGCGGGGTCAGGGTGAGGGCAGGGCCACACCTGGCAGCAGCTGCAGGCCCTCGGCCTGGGTGCTCAGCCGGTACCTCTGGCGCTTCCAGCTGCGTTTGGGGCTGAAGACATCTCGGGCGGCAGCTTTGGCATCCTCTCCCACACAGAAGGTCTCACAGGCGGCCTGAGGGATAGGCTGGTGAGGCTGAGGACCTTCTGCCACCGGCGAGCATCCTAGTGGGGAGCCTGGATGGCTTGACTGCCTGTTGCCCCAGTGGCTGAGGCAGGCGCCAGCGACAGCACCTTTTCTGCCAGCCCATTTCATGGCTCGGCCGCTGGGCCTAGGGACCCGGCTCGCTCCTCCCCTGCATGTTCTGATTGGTGTCATGGTTCTTTATCTGGTGAGTGTTGATCCCGTGATCTGAGAAGTCAAGTGCTTGGCACACAGTGGCTTGT